CTTTCTATTCTTCCCTGAGTCTCTATTTCACTCCCAAAGTAAGGTATTCCAAATCTTCTCTTTTCTCAAGCCTACCATAGCTCCCCTCACCACTACCATCTTCACCTGATGACTGTATCTTTTACCATTACTTAGAAAATTGAGGCCATTCACCATAAACTACCTCTTCTCCCTTTCTCAAAACTACTTAACATCATCCATCCTCACCTCTTTCAATCCCCAACCCTCTCCTTTTCTCCAGTTACTGACAATGAGATTGCCCTCTCTTTGACAAAGCCAGCTCTTACACCATGTGTCAAAGGGAGTACCCTCCTGTCTTCTCCAGCAGGCTACCCCCAAATCATCCCTTTTCTCTGTAATCTCAATTCTGGTTTCTTCCCTACTACCTTCAAATACGCCCAAGTCTCCCTCACACTTAAAAAAAAACTGCATTAGACTTCATTATCCCCTCAAAGTATCATCCTTTATCTCTCTTTCCTCTCTCAGACAAACTCCTAGAAAAAACTACCTACATACACTTCTCTTACTCATTCTTCAACTTTTTGTAAGCTGAGCTTCCAACATCATCAATGAAAGTGCTCTCTTCAAAACTAACAAAGATCTCTTAACTGCCAAATCTGATGATCTTTTCTCAGTTCTCAATCTATTTGACTTCTTTATAACATTAGACACTGTTAACCTCTTTTGTAAATAAATGCAATGCAAAAGAACATGTCTTTTGCTTTCCCTATACAAAGTTGCCTTTCACTAGTCATTATCTGCAAGTCATACTGTCTCTCCCAGTCATTACAGAAAGTATTAAAGAGAAATTATTTTATCCTCTAAGACTCCTCCTAATACTTGGGAATCTAAAGCTGCATTCCAAAGCTATAACCCATATCTGTAACTAGGGCTAGCAACAAAGACTTTAAACCAGACACCAAAAAGTGCCAACAACTGTACTCTTTCAGAAGATAGAAACAACTTAGCAACGACTTGGTAAGACTAATCAGCTTAAAAATTAAAGTTATCAGGTGGCTTCCTTCTTCAATTCAGTGGCTGTGCCCCTAAGTAAATACCTTCCTCACTCACTTCAATCCTTCTCCCTCCCCAACAATGATGTATCAGTATTAACCTTGCATTGTTCTAGGGTCTCTTTTTAATTGCCTTCCTGGTTCTGTCTGTGTCTCTATCTCTGTGGAGGTGAGGGGGAATTCCTCTGATTCATTTAACAATCTGTGAGTACCAGTACAACCTTCAAAAGGTCCATCTACTATTCCTTAACTAACAGAACCTGCTTAGCTCCTTTTCAAATAATACATTTCCAGAATGATGTCCCCAAGGCCTTCTTGTAAATTGCCATATGCTATATCTCCTTTAAAAGAGAAGTCTCTTATAAAAGAGGGAAATTTGTGAATACAGTAAAGAATGGGCACTAAATTAATTTCCCTTAACTCCTCACTATCAAATTATAATAAAAAAAAATCATTGCATTAAAGCCCGAAAGGATCGTTTAGGACAATCACCCAGTGAAAGAATACTTCCTACCACATCTTGAATGGATGGAATTTAGTGATGGGAAGCTCACTACCTAGGACCACCTACGGAAGTATCAGGTCAGCTGCAGATTGTCCACAGAAAGCAAAAAATCAGGGCAATGATCAAATCAATGAGGTAGACGTAAAAAAAAAAAATTAACTTTCACTAAATAAAAAAATCTCAACAAGAATACATAAACTCTCAGCAAGGATATACTTTGACAAGTACAGCTCTCTACATCGCCACCAATGCACACAGGTTGGTAACATAAATAACCCAGAAAAGAATTCAAAAAGTCCATTTGGTGCAAAGAGCTACATCTCCTCGAAAATTTATCAAAAAATGCACATTAATTCATCTCTCCCACTTTCATTTGGGGTCTCCATGCTTTACATATGCTTTAAGTAACCAATGTCTGGTCTATGACCTGGAAAGAACAAACAACATGTGAGACACAACTTATTCCATGTTGTTGTTGTTATTCTGTTGTTCCAGTCACGTGCAACTCTCTGTAACCCCAGTTGGGATTTTCTTGGCAAAAATACTGATGGGGTTTGCCATTTCCTTCTCCAGATCATTTTACAGATGAAAAACTGAGACAAACAGCTAATAAGTGTCTGAGGCCAGATTTGAACTCATGAAGATAAGTCTTCCTGACTTCAGGCCTGGCACTCTATCCACTGTGCGACCTAGCTGCCCTTTATTCCATTATAGGGTCCGTGAAAGGCAGAAATGCATTTTATTTACCTCAGCATCTTCCCTAGCACCTAGCATAGTACTCTGCACTAAGCAGGTTGCTACTAAATGTCTGCTGAATTGAAATGAATACCATTTTTGAAAGATTCTATTATTAGAAAATTTTTCCTCATGTTGGCTGTCTTTTCGTAGCTTTCCATCCATGTCTCTCACCTTCCTTAAAATTCTACTTACAAATCTTAGCCTGTTTCTTTTATATCACTCTATGATAGCTGATATTTAAAACTACGCAATAAGCTCAAATTTCGCCCACTGAGCAACACAATGCCTGGGACATGGGAAACAAAAAGCAGGGGCATGTTTGGGGAACAAAATATATTCTAGTTTGGCTTAAAGGTGGGCTATGCAAAAGAGCATAGTGGGGAATGACCTAAGAGTATTTTTAAAAGTACTTTACATCTCCATCTCAAATTCCTCTATCTCTTCTTCTTAAACACTAAAAAGTATGTGTTCCCCAAACTATGGTGTCTTTCTACACTCTCTTTAGTGATCTCATTGAAGCCCATGGCCTTAAAAATCACCTCAATACAAATTACTTTATTTCAGCAGTCACCTCTCCTGAGGTCCAAGCCTATGTCTTTAAAGATCCTACCTTGGACCTCATATTTACCATGGCACCTCAAACTTCATATGTCCATTAGTAAGTTTCTGTAAAACTCTGTCCTCCTTCTGATTTCATCATTCACTACCATCTACTCAATCTATCAATTTCAAAACAATGTTATTATCTTTGACTTCTCTCTCTTCCCCATCTCTCTTGCCTAATCAGTCATGGAGTGTATGAAAATCTATGAAATCTACCTACAACACAGCTTTTGCTTCTAAACTCTGTCATCAGTGCCACTACTCTAGTACAAACCCTCAACACCATCCAGATGAACTGGGTGTTGTGCACCTTCAAAATGTATTCCTGTATACACTCTCTCTTTTCTTCTTTAAATCTTTAAATATTCATACTCCTTTCCTTCCCTTTGCTTGAAACCGATAATTTTCTACTGCCTATCGAAAAGTTAAAATTCCTTACCCTAGAAGCTATAGTCCTCTACAACCAAGCACCATCATACCTAGCATGATGTAGTAGAATGACCAGTGGACTTAAAATCAGAAGACTAGGGTTCAAATCTAACTTTGCCATTTACTAGGCATGTGACTGTGAGCAAAAGCATACTAACTTCTTTGAGAGTTCCAGGTGCCCATCTGCAAGATAAGTAGCGCTAGACTCTTATAAGACTTCTCTAGCTCCTTTCAGAATTTTATATCCCTTCATTTTGAGTTGCCTTTTGCATCTTATTTCACGCTATTCATCAACATGTTCTTCCTACTTCAGCCAAACTGGATTATTAGTCATCTCCTCCTGCATGGCACACAGCACTTTTCTACCCCTTTGCCTTTACTCACCCCTTTGGAACAAATCCCTTTCCTCAACTGTTGCATTTCTACCCATTTTTTTAAAAGTTCAACTCAAGGGACAGCTAGGTGGCACAGTAAATAGAGCAACCAGCCCTGAAGTCAGGAGGACAGGAGTTCAAATCCAGCCTCAGACCAAATACCTGACATTTACTAGCTGTGTGACCCTGGGCAATTCACTTAACCCCAACTGTCTTAAAAAAAAAATAAGAAAAAGGAAAAAAAGCTCAACTCAAAGGCCACCTCTCTCTAGTAAGCCTTCCCTGATACCCCAAATCAGTAATGACCTTTACTCTTTCAGAGTCTATACAATACTTAGCTTACATCTTTACCACATACATATTGGGTATGACTTTGTATTAGCTAACTGTGAATGTGTCACATTCTCCTACTAGAAAAGGTGTTCTTAAACAGGAGTCTATGCAATTGTTTGTTGTAGTTTTCTGGGTTTGTTTTTGTTTTTTTACTATTTTGATAGCAGTATTTCAATATAATTGGTTTCCTTTTAAATCTGTGTATTGGATTTCATGCATTTAACAACATTCTGTGAAGGTGTGCATAAGTTTCATCAGAATTTGAGGACCATCCATGATTAAAAAAAAAAAAAGGTTAAAAAATATTAGACTATTAGCTACAAAAAGGCCAAGAAAGTGTCAATATCTTATTTAAACTTGGTATGTCATCCCAAGTCTAGCATATTGTTCTAGCCCCAATGGACATTTAATAAACATGTCAAATTACAAAGGCAACAAGAGTGACTGGAGAGTTGTAAGGGGTGTAACGATCAAATTTGTACATAAAGATTAGTCTGCAAATGTTATTACGGATGAATCAGAAAAAGCTTAGAGGTGAGGAATTTCTCCATCCTGAAAAATGTGGTGTTTGAAATACTACATATAGATTTTTAAATTGTTACTATTATGATAATATTATCTTTTATATACATGTAGCTTTTTAGTTCTGCAGCCTGTGCACTGAAAGGTATAATAAATTTCACTTAAAAAAAAAAGAAAACCAGGGGTAGCTAGGTGGTACAGTGGATAGTGCTCCGGCCTGGGAGTCAGGAGGCCCCGAGTTCAAATCCGGCCTCAGACACTTGACACTTACTTGCTGTGTGACCCTGGGCAAGTCACTTAACCCAAATGCCTCACCAAAAAAAAGAAAAAAGCCTAGAACAGAAATATTAAGCCACTTTATCAGTTATTCAAACAGCAGAAAAATATCTGTTAGTAGCAGATCAAGTTAATTGTATCTTAGTTTCCTTCTGCTCTCTTTAAAGAAATAACAGTTCTACAAATATGAAAACCTCCAATACTTACCATTTGATTTGATTTCTCGTACATAGTTGCTAGGGAACCAGCCTGTTTTGCCATTGTGAGTGCCCTCCCACCAGCCCCCTTCTTCTACTCTCGTGACATGGATGATGTCTCCTTTTGTAAAAGAAAGTTCATCTTCATTTGTCTGTTGGAAATTAAATTTTGCTCTCACTACCAGTTGATGGTTGCTATTATCCGTCATGTCCTAAAATGAAAGAACAAACATAAAGAAAAGTCTTTTTTTTTTGTGAAACCGGTACATCTATCACACAAAAGCTTTAAGTAAATTGAAATTGATCCTATTTTGGGGCAGCTAGGTGGCTCAGTGGATAGAGCACCAGCCCTGAAGTCAGGAGGACCTGAGTTCAAAACTGGCCTCAGACCAAACACTTGACATCTCCTAGCTGTGTGACCCTGGGCAAGTCACTTAACCCCAATTGCCTAAAAGCAAAAAAAAAAAGAAAAGAAAAGAAATGGATCCTATTTTAAAGTGTGTAAATAGAATGAAGAGAAAACATTTATTAGATTTCTTTTATCTTACTTTGTAATCAAATAGATGTAAAAAAAAACCTGGATCATAAATCTATAACCAATCACAGCATCCAGTCCAACCCGCTTGTTTTATATACATAAGGAAACTGAGGCCTAAAGAAAATCACAGGGAGCAAGTGAAAGGGCTCGAATTCAAAATAGTTAGAATTTGAACCAATGTGCTCTGGCTCCAACTAGTATCCAGTGCTCTTCCTGAAAAAGAAATTTTATTTAAAAATAAAAAAAAAAGTTTTAACTATGTGCACGTGACCAGATTATGTTGAAAGTTTTCCTCTTATCAGGAGCTCTTTGTTTTTAACTTTCAATGTGGTAAGAACCTGACGTGAGCACAATTACTTAACAGTTCTTTTGAGTTCTTGTGGCTTTTGGAGATTTTTTAAATGAAGCTCTCATTTTATCATTCTCTTCAAAGTTACATAATAATTTGTAAAAGGAAATGACATTGGAATTTTTTTTTTTGGTGAGGTGATCGGGGGTTAAGTGACCTGCCCAAGGTCACACAGCTAGTAAGTGTTAAGTGTCTGAGTCTGGATTTGAATTCAGGTCCTTCTGACTCCAAGGCCAGAGCTCTGTTCACTGAGCCACCTAGCTGCCCCCCATTGGAAATTTCTGTAAGAAAATTATAGCATTTTGATGAGCTCAGGATTTCACTGGTGTGGACATCCCTTCATGTAAATTCCATTTAACAGAAAGAAAAGACAAAATTTAAGCCACTTGACCAGTCATTCCAATAAATAAAGCAGCAGAAAGAAATCTGGATCAATATAGAACCCAACTGTCTACATGTTATTTTTCATTCTCAACACATAACTGATCCACTTCCTTTTCTGGTCATATATGTCCTCAATGTAGTCCATTTTCACATGAAAATCATCCTTGTTACTTGGAACTTTAAACCAGAAAGATCATGCTGTCCTACGGCCACATAGCATCACCAAGAAACGATTAGCAGCTTTTGTGGCAATAAGCAATTTGGGACCACTGAAAAGCATCATGCAATGCCTCAAGAGATATGTTTCTACCTTCGTATATTTCACTGTGGATCTGGCTCATTCTTCACGGAAGCAATTAGCTAAGCTAAACATACAAATGGACTAAATCAACAATCTGTCCACCGAGCTACATTTCTAAGTCTTGGCAATAAGTGTTCCTCATCCATTTTGTTTTTCTAGTGTGGATGGTTGGGCTAACACCACTGGTGACTGCTGAATTCAGAGAACTACTGAACAAAGTTATCGTCATGTCTGCATCTTTTATAATCTTACCATATGTGTGAAAGATCCATTTTGAAAAGGCATCAGAATGAATATCAATTTTTTAAATTCAACAAATATTAAGCACTACAGGTTCTTCTAGTTTCTACACCTTTCATTCAGTTGTCACTGTAAAGATGTATTCTGTTGTAGTAGTTTATGAAAGTCTGTCTGTATTCCTTTCTCATGTTTCCATAATGAATATTTTGAATACATGCATAACAATATTCAAATAAAGATTTTATACAGATGAATAATAAAGCATGTGGGTTTTGCAGTTGATGATTATGCCTTAGTCACTTTTTTCTGTCAACAATCTTTTCTACTCTCTTAAAATCTTCTCTTCTATGAGAATTCTTGAAACCTGATCTGTAAAAATGCCTTTAAAGTAGACCTCACCAAAAGATTTTTCTACATATCTGGTGAGGTTCCACTGCCCTTCAAGACTTCATCTTCTTAAGACCACTACCACTTCCTCACATAGCTGCTTCTAGAGTGATAAAGTTCAACCAAACATGAAGGTTCCTTCACTGTCACCAATGAAAACAGATCGCTATAAAAATGACAGCAGTTTGTTCATTTAACCTTTGTGTTGTCCTCCTTGCAGTATTATCTAAAAATTCCTTCAAGTTAATCAAATTTAGCCTATACCAAATGCCAAAATCTCTAACAGGTAAAAAATGTTTTCATTGACTATTTTTTTCCTTGTTATGTAAGGTAGCCTCTTCCGCAATATTTTACAAACAGATTTATATTCTAGACCAGTGCTGCTCTTTGTTGTAACGGCTTTTCACTCATGAAAGTGATTAAATGTTTGCTGACCAGACTGGTTTCTGGTCTCTTTCGGTCTTCTTGTCATGGCAATAACTTTGTATCAGTTAAACTTCTCTAAAAATTGTGATAATCACTTTCCATTTTTTGTATTATACAGATTATTTAAATACATATTGCTATAATTACATTTAAATATAGCTGTAACTTCTTCACATCTTCTGGTTTTATTTATAGCCAGAATATCAATAATGATATGACTAGGCTCTTTTAGTAGACTGTCAACTCCTTTCTTGTTGGACATATAATAGACATTATGATTATGAATAATTTTTTAAAATTCATAATTTCTCAGAACCCTCTGCCTGGTTATACAGTTCCATCACTGTCACTGGGAAAGAAGGTTGCACAGTTTTGATGGAGAGAGGGGTAATTAGTCTGATGTTTGTCTCCCCAACAAACTAATTCATCTCCTGGTTGACAAATTCTAGTGTTGAGGGACAACAGGTAATTTTATTCAAATTATCAGGAAATACATTAATACCAGGATGATTAACATCATTAATGTCAGGAACAGTAGTTTTTCATACTAAATTCACAGGTGCTCTGAGTAATATCCAAATGAGTAACAAGGTTCAGTGGAAAGACTACTGGCTTTCAAGTCAAAATATCTTGATTCAAATACTGGCTCTGCCACTTTCTACCTGTTTGACCTCTGACAAGTCATCTCACTTCTCTGGGTCTCAGCAAGGCTAGCTAACTTCCAAGAGCCCTACTAGCTCTAAATCTATGATACTATCAGCTTATGCAAGAACTCCTGAGATATTTTCCATTGAAATTTTTCTTGTTTGTCTAACTATAGACTGAAAATATTAGGAGGATGAAGAACATAGAAATCTTCAATTTGCCTAATTCTTCTCCTCTACAAAAACATCACATCTACTGAAAATTTCCTCCATTAAGAACTTGCCCTTCTCTAGCAAAATCTAAGTCAAAAGTTATTATTTTTCTAAAACTGTCAGGATTAGCACCTTACAACAAGTACTAATTCCCACCTCCACCTATCTGCACTATCTCATGTGTAAAAACTTTCCCCCCACAGTTTACCAACTAAATAAGATATGGGGGGGAGAGAGAGATGGGACACTTTGTACATCACACATGACATCTTTAGAACCCACTCTCCTTACTTCACACAGATGTATATCAAAGGACAAATAAAATATATCACGCTCCCCTAAAACTAGTATTAAACAATGACATTGTAAAAGCAAGGTAAAGGAAAACAGAATGATATAAAGAGGGGAAAAAAAGTTTTGGATAAAGAAGGCAGAAGGAAGTTAGCTAGAAAGGAAAACAGGATTGGAAAGGGGAATAAGAAGGACACACAATTTCTTTAAGAAACAGAAGAGTAAGGGCAGAGGGGAGCAAGTCAGGAAACAGAGAGGGGAAAATGTGTTTCAAATACAATGGATTTCAGAGAAAGATTTCTAGAAAGAAAAAAAATGTGGCTCTTTTATAGAGTGTTAGAGATGAAAAACTTAAAAAAGATAAATCTATACAACTGCCTACATTTAAAGATGAGGCAACTGAGACCAAGAAAGTTAAGCAACTTGTTCACGTTAACAATAAATTAGAAGCGGGCAGGAACCACAACACTGACTCACGGACAGTGTTCTTCCCCTATTCCATGTTGTCATCTGAAGCATGGAGAAATTTGAACAGCACAGTAGTCAGTAGTAATTACAAAGACAGAATCAAGGGGTAAAACACTGCTTGTTCCTTCTCCTTTGTCATAGGCATGACTGAAGTACTCTGGTTTTCCTGGGAAGTTACACATATTAGCTAGAGAAACATCTAAAGCTTTAGGAATATTAAATTTATTTGGTATTTTTTCCCTTGAAAAACAAAGCTTGCTGGCTCTTATTGATTAATGGGAGTTTGAACCAAGTTCATCAACATGCCAAACAAAACTTGTTGCTAGAAAACTGACAGAATATTTTCTGTTTCATAAACTATGATTATTATTCATCAAGTGTCCACTATGATCTTCATTATATTTTCTTCTCTGTAAACATATCCACAATGAGTTCAGGAAATCTTTTTTTAATAAAACACACATGTACCCAATACTGGTGATAAATTCCAACAACTGAAGGCAACTGTAGCAATTAAGTTAATACACATGCCTTTCCAGAACCAGACAAGGCTAACCATACAAAAGAATCCTGCTCCCAGACAGTTACAAATAGTGAGCATCCTTTAGGATCCACTGTTTTATAATGAATATTACATAAAGCAAGAGTTTAGTTCTAAGAAAATAAATGCTTACAAACCAATCTGCCTCATTCATCAATGTGAAACACGGATACTTTTATTCCTTTTCAGAGTGCCTGATTCCTCTCTTGTAATCCTCTTGGGTGCCTCTAAAGCAGACATTGTTATAAAAAACCTCACAAACTGAGCCTCCAGGAAGAGAAAGAAGCAAGGTACTTAGAGAGAAAAGAAAAATAGAAGAGTTGTGAGAAAAAGAACTGGGAGAAAAACAAACATAATATACATTTGAAATTTTGTTTCATTTGAAATGAGCTCAGGGTTGTAAAGTAGAAGGCAACAAATACTCTGTTCACAACCTTTCTGGATTTCTTTTATGATCAGACAATGGCAGATTTTTTTCAATGGTATAAACTTCTCTTTAATTTGGAGTCATAATTCCCCCAAAGCAATTCCAAACTTTTCTAGAGTGTTATGCCCAATAAAATTTAAATTTACTTCAATAAAGTTGAGAAACAGGGAAACAGTGCTACTTTAAGAGGAAAAAACAGACAGATAAACAGCAAAGAAATGTTTCTAGTCTCCTCTACTTTCTATTGCTGTTGTTGAGTCATTTCAGCGGTGTCCAACTCTTTGTGACCTCATCTGCCAAGAAGCAGATACTGGAATGGTTTGCCATTTCCCTTTTCCAACTCATTTTACAGAGGAGGAAACTAAGGTAAACAGGGTTAAGTGGCTTGCTCAGTATCATACAGCTAGTAAGTATCAGAGGACAGGTTTGAAGTCAGGAAATGAGTCTGCCTGACTCCAAGCCTGGCATTCTATCTGCTGTCCTACCAGGCTGTCTATTTTCCATTAGCTGCCTTAAAAAGTGGAGAGGACTATTTTACTTTTCTGACAATATACCTTATGGATATACTACTGCTTCCTAAAATACTGTGATGAATACACTCAAATCTATGGAGTTCTTCAAAAACCATTTAGCACAGCACAGTAAGCTGAGCATGCAGAAAGTACTTAAATGTTTATTGACTAATTAATGCTGCCTTTCCCTACCAATCCCCCTTTCTGTCTTAAAGTAGATATTCTAGAAGTAGCCTAAAGATCAAGTGAATAAATACATTTAGCTAATATCACAACAAAAATCCATCTACATCATGTAATAATAAAACTCAGCAAAATCCCACAACATCGATGCATCTCATTATATTCACATTTAACATGACAGTTCATATTTATTTCTGATCTGAAATAACTTATTTGTAACATTGTGGAAAACCAGGTACTTGTATTTGACCAAAAACAATTCCATTAATTCAGTAATTCAAAGATGTAAGCTTTAGTTTATTTTGCATGGCAAAGGAGGCAAGCAGAACAAGTAATTCAGGGTCTTTTGCCCTACTGAAATGGTCTTTAGACCGAAAAATATTTCATTAAAACAGCAGTTTTCACATCAAGTTCTACCTTTTTTCATACCATCTTCGACTAATACTATGTTTCTTGTTTTTTTCCTTTACTTTTCACTCTGCCTTTCCCTATTTCATCATTACAGTCATCATTAATGATGACCTTGCCCATTCTGATAATACAAAATCAAATTTTTCTTCACTTAACCCATTCATTAATGTAGATCTCTTTCCCTTAAACTTTCCCTTAAACTATTTCCTGGCTATCATGTGGGTTTTCCTCTTTTACAAAACACAGTATGACTTATTAAAGCACTTTAAATCATGTTTTTAAGCAGAGAGAAAATGACTGCTGGAGAATTTAGTTTTATAGACCTTAAATATTCATTCTTGTTCTCTCAAAATGGATTCCTTAAAAATACATCTTTATTCCAACACTTTAGGTTAGAAGACATTTGTAAAGAGGATTAAATAAGAAAATACCACACAGTGTTCAAGCACTCATTTTTATAGAAGGTATAAATAAGATGCTATGTGTATACACACATACACACACACACCCACACAAGCATGCACAAATGCACAGGCATACGCACACATAGACACATGATGTATCCATCAGAATTTAAGGAAACTCTGGGTAGGCATTAGCTCAATAGAGTGGAAGAATAGAGAAATCCAAGACATAACTTTTATTCCTTTACAACACCACCACATTAATAACATGTGGGTGTGCACGCATACAAGTCAGCTTTTGTTTTAATCAAACTTACCAGACTTCGATACTGGCCCTGGAACAATTTTGAAGTCCGACTGAGTAAAGACTGAGATCCAAGGGAATCAAAGGACTTTATTCGATGAGATGAGGGCCGAGCACATACAGAGTCACTTCCCAGCCCAATGTCTGAAAAGGTTATGCACAAAAAAAAGTTGAAGATGTCTGATACCATGCACCTTCACTATGCAACATAAGAATACACCAAAAGACCTCAACAAAGCAAATTATTTATATAGTAGATAAAGAAATTGTTCTTTGTCTACTGTATAAATGATTTGCATTCATTCCTCAATTACCTTTCCAGAAATTATCTGTAGCTAATTGCTCATATCAATCCCTTTCTGGAATAATTTTTCAAGTGGTTGACTATTAAAATTATCCAAGGTATTTCTTAATTTGAAGGGTCTTTTGCAATAATTTTCATTAGTTACCCTTCACCTAGGAAATGCAAGCCTCTCCAAACAGTTTAACAAAGGCAAGAGAGGGTAGCAAACAAAGTCCAAAAGGAAGGACTTATTTGCAACAAAATAGAAAAGACACATGCTCGAAACTAATTGAGGGCAACTACTTTACCTTAGCATAGACTCTTCCTATAAGTAGGGATTATTTCATTCATTGAATTTGTATCCTCAGTACCTAAACACAGTGCAAGGCACATAGTCAGTGCTTAAAAAATACTTGTTGACTGATTTTTAGCCTGGAAGAGCCTTCCAGGAAGACACACTATCCTACAGCTGCAAAGACCCTCACTCATCTATTAAATGAAGATATCTATATCATTTCACTTACAGTGTAGTACTCAGGATAAAATGAGATAATACATGTGAAAACACCATACAAAATTAGGCAATTAACTTTGCAGCCTTTGGCTCTTTTTCACCAACACCACAAACCCCATAATATGCCACTTATTTCATCAAACAGGATACCAGTAACCTATTGCTAGGAGATAATTCCATGCCTTTTAAGAAAAAAAAAATCTTCCCAGACATTCAGACATGGATATCCCTAACAGCTCAGGTCATATTACAATTGTTTCAAAGCCCCTAGACCATATAAAGAGAGCAGATACCTTAAAGTACCATCCACATTCTTCTTTTTAAAAATACAAAAATATTTCAACAATCTACAACAATGAATGAGCCAAAACTAATCAGCTTAAATTTAATCAGGTTAAATGTAAAGTCTTGAACTTGATTTTTAAAAGTCAATTATCTGGCAAAGAATTGGAAAGTGAAGGCATACCCATCAATTGGGGCATGGCTGAACAAGTTGTGGTATATGAATGTAATGGATACTATTGTGCTATAAGAAATGATAAGCAGGCCGACTTCAGAAAAACCTGGAAAGACTTGTATGAACTACTGCTCAGCGAAATGAGCAACATCAGGAGAACACTGTACACAGTAACACATTATGCAATGACTAACTTTGACAGACTTAGCTCTTTCTAGCAATGCAAGGATCTAAGACAACTCCAAAAGACTCATGATGGCAAATACTTGCCACACCTAGAAAAAGAACTATGGAATCTGAATGCAGATTGAAGCATATTATTTTATTTGCTTTTTTTGGTTTCTTCTTTCTCATGGTTTCTCCCATTAATTCTTCTTTACAACATGACTAATATGAAAATAGGTTTAATATGAATATATATGTTGAGCTTGTATCAATTTATGTGCCATTTGGGAGAGACGGGGAGAAAATGTCAGGTCCTCCTGACCTCAGGGCCGGTGCTCTAGCCATTGTGCTACCTAGAAAATTTGGAACTCAAAATCTTACAGAAGTGAATGTTGCAAACTAAAAAAAATAAATTAATTTTCAAGATAGAGGAAAAACTAAAAAAAAAAGTCAATTATCCAAGTACAGAACTGGAAAAGTTAAAAAGTACTTTATATGAAAAAAGCCTAGGACTTTTAGAAACTGACATGCTCAATATATGAATCAACAGTGTTAACATGGCAGTCAAAAGCATTCATGTGACTTTAGGATACACTTAAAGAAACACAGTTCCCCCCCCCAAAAAAAGTGAGATTATATAGTTCCACTATACTCTGCCCTGGTCAGATTACATCTGGAATACTGTGTTCAGTTCTAGGTAATTTGTTTTAGAAAGGACCATTAACAAAATGGAGCAAAGCACAGCTTTAGCACTACCTTCCTATCTCACCCACACCCTACCTATTACTGCCTTCCCACTCCAAAACTTGCATTTATTTTGTACATATTATTCAAATACAAAATGTCTGTACATGTCATTCCCCCCCCCAAGAAAAAAAAAAGAATGTAAACTCCTCTGAGAGCTCCTTTCTTTCACTTTCTGTCTCTTTATTCTTAAAGGCACTGATAAATAAACTGATAAATACTTGTTGACTGGTAGGTAGGTTGGTTGAAAATGGCAAGATTACAACAAACCATGCCATTAGAGAATGAGTTGATGGAAATCTTTAGCTTGAAGAGGAAAAAAAACAAACAAACAAGGGGAGGGGAGGAGTTCCTCAGAAAGAGTTGGAAATGGATGATAACTATCCTCATGTATTTGAAGGATTATCACATGGAAAACATATTAGACTCATTTTGACAGGTCCTGAGCCTCAGAATAGCCCTGAGCAGTAGGTGCAACAGATACCATTGTCCCCCATTTTAAAACTGAGGAAACTGAAGTTCAAAGAATTTAAGTGACTTAGTCATGGTCATACAGCTTACTATCAGATAGTTTTCTGAAGTCCAAGTCCAGCACTACTTCCAGAATACTATACTGTTTCTCAAGAGTCCAGCTCCACCTTCTACCTGATGCCTTTTCCTATTCCTCAGATGCAAGTGTCCCCCTCCTCTCCACAAAAAAGGCCCTCTAATTACTTGGCATATACATATTTATGTATATTGTCTCCCCAGTACAGGATAAGCTCTTTGAGGGCAGATAGTTTCATTTTTACCTCTGTACCCTCACTGCCTAGCTTACTAATAAATATTTGTTGCCTGATTCCAGGAAAAGGTCCTTAACAATGAGAGCTGCTGAGAGAGGGCGGAGCCAAGATGGCAGACTGAAAGCAGTGACTTGCTTGAGCTCTCCCCCAAACCCCTTCAGATACTCATAAAAAATGGCTCTAAACAAATTCTGAAGCAGCAGAACCCACAAAAATACAGAGTGAAAAAAATTTCCAGCCCAAGACAACCTGGATGGTTGATCAGAAAGGTGTATCGCGCTGGGCTGGGAGTGCAGCACAGCGCGGCATGGGGCACGCAGGCCACAGTGAACCTGGAGCAGGTCTCACAGGACTGAATTGCAGGCAGCTGTGGAGGTTTCCAGACTTCTCAATCCACAAATGCCAAAGACAACTTAGAAGGTCAGTGGGAAAACTCTGTTTCTGTGGTGCTGAGACAGGAAGGCGGGGTCTCAGCTCCATTCCCCAAGAGCGGCCCTGGGGAGGGCAGCTGCTTCCCGAGCCGCCGGCCCATAGACTGAGTGGGAATCCAGTGGCTGATCAGAGAGGGATTGCAGGGATCTCTTTGCCAGTGCTGAGGCAGGAATCTCTTGCTTTGCCCATGTTTGGATCTGGGTCACAGTTCTGGGCAGCACTGCTGGGGTGAGAAGGAGCACTGGTGTGGTGGAGCTTGTAGTGGCTCTGAAGAGGAACCCCTCCTTACAGTTGAAGGACAGAAAGGAGTACTTGTGGTCACAGGCCAGGAAGTGAGTAAACACCTCGCCCCTTATACCACCTTGGAAGAGCTGAAAATTTACAGGTCCCTACAAGTATCTCTGAAAACAGCTGTATAAACCCCCGAAGCTTGGGACAGTACATTCTCCACATTAGAAGCAGACTCTTAACCTTAACGAAGAGTTTAAACTCAAGTAACGGGCCGGGATCATGAGCGAGCAGCGCAAATAGAGTTAGACTATATTATCTCACTTTGGTGAAAAAGAAGATCAAAATGTACAACCAGAAGAAGACAATAAAGTCAAAGCTCCTACATCCAAAGCCTCCAAGAAAAATATGAATCAGTCCCAGGCCTTGGAGGAGCTCAAAAGGGATTTTGAGAAGCAAGTAAGGGAAGTAGAGGAAAAACTGGAAAGAGAAATGAGAGTGATACAGGAAATCACAAAAAAAAAAGTCAACAGCTTGCTAAAGGAGACCCCCCCAAAAAAAAAATACTGAGGAAAATAACACCTTAAAAATAGCCTAACCCAAATGGCAAAAGAGGTCCAAAAAGCCAATGAGAAAAATGCCCTAAAAAGAAAAATTGGCCAAATGGAAAGGGAAGTCCAAAAGATTACTGAAGAAAATACTTCCTTAAAAATTAAAATAGAGCAATTGGAAGCTAGTGACTTTATGAGAAATTAAGACACTGTAAAACAAATCCAAAAGAATGAAAAATTAGAAAACAATGTGAAATATCTCATTGGAAAAACAACTGACCTGGAAAATAGATCCAGGAGAGAGAATTTAAAAATTATTGGACTATCTGAAAGCCATGATCAAAAAAAGAGCCTAGACATCATCTTTCAAGAAATTATCAAGGAAAACTGCCCTGATATATTAGAACCAGAGGGCAAAATAGAAATTGAAAGAATCCACAGATCTCCTCCTGAAAGAGATCCCCAAAGGAAAACTCCTAGGAATATTATAGCCAAATTCCAGAGTTCCCAGGTCAAGGAGAAAATATTACAAGCTGCCAGAAGGAAACAATTCAAGTACTGTGGAAACACAATCAGGATAACACAAGATTTAGCAGCTTCTATATTAAAGGACCACAGGGCATGGAATATAATATTCCGGAGGGCAAAGGAGATAGGATTACAACCAAGAATCACCTACCCAGCAAAACTGAGTATAACTTCAGGGGAAAAATGGTCATTCAGTGAAATAGAGGACTTTCAAGCATTCCTTGATGAAAAGACCAGAGCTGAATAGAAAATTTGACTTTCAAATACAGGACTAAGTGGAACATGAAGAGGTAAACAGGAAAGAGAAGTCATAAGAGACTTATTAAAATTGAACTGTTTACATTCCTGCATGGAAAGATGATATTTATAACTCATGAGACCTTTGTCAGTATTAGGGTAGTTGGAGGAAAAAAATTATATGTATGTATGTATAGATAGATAGATAGAAGATAGATAGATA